CCTTCCATATTATTTGTCAATCCTGACAGACAAAAATAATCAAATAATCATACAGTCCATCTATCCTGCAGCCTTGAGAAAGCTACAAGCAGCATTAGCAGCTATTAGTTTCATCCATACTGAAACCATGATATTTATGCAATGAAGATATTATTTATACCTCTTTTTAAAATAGTACAATGAAACAGAGGAATAGAGAATAGTTACGTGGAACATATACCTTGGAAAAAAATCAGATTACTTGTGATGTTGATAGGGTATGGCCTTGAAAATCTGGTTTTATTGTCAACCCCGGGGCCCTGGATGTATGGCTCAATCCATATCTAGACAGTGTTAATTATTGTTATTGGTTGGCTTTTCTTGGCTGCTATATTATTTATAATTTTGTTATGTGGTTTTTATCTTGTTTTTAAATATTTTATCTGACCATAGTCCTGCATTTGAGATGGGCGGCCCTACAAGTTGAAATGAATTGAAATAAAGAATAAGGATGGCTAATTTCAAAATCTATTTCCACAAAGTTCAAGAACTGAAGATGTAGCTCATAGCCAGGTGTCTCTGGGACAGGTGACTGGGAGGCAAATATTAAAGCTTGTATAATAACTTTGTCACACAAATGTCATGACTTATGTACTTGCAATTGCACAATGGTGTTATTTTTTAATAATTTTATTAAAAGCTTTAATTACAATAGTGAAAAATAATACAAACTAAAAAGAAAAAAGAATAAAAGTTGGAAGAAAATAATAAAGGGTGGTATTTGTGTAATGATAACACTGAGCACGTGTCTTTTTGGTGTCACTGAGGTTTGCTGAGGATGCCACTGATTCATATTCAGATTTTCTGCATATATTCATTCACACATCGTATATATTTTCTGCAAACACCTCCCTCCCACCCCATAATTTACAACAGCATCATAAGACTGGATTAAATAGCATGGGAGTGAAGGTGCTAATTATAAATTAGAGACCATTAAAAATAAACTTCAGTAATATTAATAAGTCTGCAAAACATATTTGTCTCACAATAAACATACTTTATGCCAGGAACAGAATGTATTTCTGAGTTTAAAGATCTTTTCCTCTAGCTGCAATTATCAATAGCATTAATTCATTCTGCTGAATAAACATTTGGGCTAAGCAAGTTCTCTCTTAATGATGTTTAATAATTTTCAATATTCTGCAAGTTAAGTAATTGGTAACATCTCTATTTCCATAATCTTTCACAGATAGAATCTATAGATATAAACCTCAACACAGCTTCCAGGCACTAATAGGCTAGCCACTGCAAAAGTCTTTGTAACAGAAGAATACAACTCATATTTTTTTCTGGCATAGCAAGCTGAAGCAAGATATGTTGCAACTTAAAAAGTGATAGGTCAACCTATACACGTTTTCATCCAGAGAGCGATTTCATTCTTACCCTTTTCAGAGAATCAATAACCTGATTCACCTACAGAATGTATGATGTGGTGAAGACTATTAGTTATCATGACTTCAATTAATAACCAACAATGGCCTAAATCCAATTAGTAGAGCTGAATGTCAGACTATATTATCTGGGGTAGCCTTTCCAATATGATTTTCTTCCAGATATGTGGACTTCAACATTCTCAAAAATGTTCATGCTGGTTGAAGAATACAGAGAACTGATGTCCACCCACCTGGAGAATGCCGTATTGACAAAGACTAATCTTCAGGAAGATAACCTAGTTTTTTAGCATTGTATTTCAGAAAAAGTAACCTTTCAAGTAATATGAGGTAATAATATCCATGAAAACTATGTCTTGCTTTTAAAAAGATGACTATGACATGTTTGACATTTGAAATATACTGTGCCTGACAAATATTAAAGAAAGCCAAACATTTCTTCCAATAGAAGTCAAGAGCAAGGAAATTTTTTCCTGACAGGAAATTCTTTCCTAAATGGGGGGAGGAGGTAAGAGTGAAGAGTGAGGGAAACAGAAAAAGATATGGCCTCTCAGAGAAACAGAGAAGGGAATCCAAGAGACACAAGACTTTCATCAGTTGAATGAAAAATTTACCTGGAATTCAACTAAAAGATCAAGAAACTCAGGCAAAACAAAAAAACCTTAATATTCTGTTCCTACAATCAGTTCCAATTATCTTCAACTCAGCAAATGAACCAGAATGAAGTCTGCAGAAATAGTCACTGCACAGGAAAGATTACTCAACAGACTGGGAATTGGAGAGATGTGAAAACACTCTGCTATTAATAATGGGAAAGGTCACAGCTTATAGCAAAAGCAGTCCAAAACCTTTGTTGACTGAGCCAGAGCAACCAAGAGCAGAACCTCCCATCAGTATGCACAATACTGGATATTAGGTAAGTTATTTTGACTCATAAGGCTACTTACAAGTGCCTTCTTCTTCCTTCACCAGGAGCCAACATAGAACAATAACAATCTGTCACCATTTTGATATACAAAATCAAATGCATGAGACAGTTGCCTCATTCTGCTTAATCACAAAGTGGCAAAAGTTGCCTAAAGTAGGCTTGGAAGTATCATCTTCCAGGCTTACATCACATCTAGGCTCTTCAGAGGTTCTCAGAAACAACTTTTTCAAGACAAGAAATAGCTGTTCTACTAGCAACAGATAATTATTCTGTTGTCACATGGCCAATGCAGGGTTGACTTTAAATTCCTTTCTTATTTGTTCATTCTTACAATGGTTGATTGGCTGTTACTTGTTGAAGTTCACAATATAAAGGAATATTGTTCCATGCCCATCAGCCTCAAGAGCTGAAGCAGCAGATTGGCCTTCTGCCTTCTTTGCCCTGCCAAGTCAGACAGGAGCTCATGTATCTTGGCACATGTCCCCTAGTATTCAGGATATGTTGCCTTGAGGAAATTAAGGGAGCGACAGTTCCATATGGGGGTCAAGCATGTTTTATAACAAATATTTAATATTTATAGAGCAATTTACAAAGGTTTCCTTCTATAAGTTAACCTCTACTTCATGGATACTTCCATGTAGTTGTATTGGCAATAACACCGCCATGGTTTGTCACTGTCTTCTTCTGGAATGTTGCAGGGTTCTCCTATCCAAATACTAACCAGGCCCAAATCTGCTTAGCTTTTCAAGAGTTCAATTGTTGGCTTTTAGAAAATGAGTTACAGTACAATATATTTCAATCCAGGGGGAGGGTGGGATATACATCTTGGAACACAAAAACAAAATACAAGTTTTGCGGTAAGTAGCCTCCTACCCCAATAATTCTTGGTCTCACTGGAGGCAAAAGAATCAGTCATCCCCCATAAGAGCTCTGGCTGACTCAAAGATATTGCTTTATTTTAAGATCTTATGTTATAAAAATTGAGAATAAACAAACACAGTCCTCTAGTCTTTCTGTGTATCTGTCTAAATTGGTAACAATTATGCCAAGATGTTAGTGCTAGAGATCCCCATTCATACATATGGAATCTTTTGAGATCACCATCCATGCCTCCATGGACTACTATTGACCCATCCAAACAGAATAATGTTTTCTACACAAAACTTTCATAATCTCAAGCCATGTATCAATGAATTCAAAATACAGCAAAAATTAAAGCAAGAAAATATGTACAGTATACAGCCAATATGAATGAGTGAAATTATTACACAGCTGGATATGCAAGAGCATTTGAAAGCAAGAAGCCATTTTCCTCATTCAAATGCATGTCTAAGCACGTACCTGTAACAAGTGGGCACCATCATTATTTCTGATTGCTGTTTTTTATATTGCAAAATTTGACATACCTATTTTTCAGAGGCTCCAAAAACCCAGTAGTGCCAGCTGCAAAATACAGTCAGTGGTCAACTGGATATATTTCTGTAACTTGAATCACTTGAAAATGCAAAGGGGGATGAAGAGAAAAGTTGCAAAACCAAGACCTTAAAATATTAGATGTCTTCCTTGTGCATGGGACTCTCCTCCACTTCTCCAATAGGTTTTTAATTTAAAAAGAATCTATGGCAGGTTTACAAAAAGTTAATTCTTTGAAGCACAACATGCTTTAAAACCAAATCGTGACATATTGCAGGTATGTAATACACTGCAAACCCATTCTAGATTTACAGTTCAGAGAGGCTTCTCAGTAACAGAATCTTAAATAGGAGATCAATTGTTACTTTTTTCATATATATATAGATATAGATATAGATATAGTATATAGATAATAATCATGGTCCTAAGCTCTAATGATATCAGGAAGAGCTTTGCTAAGCAGTTTGGATATGCATTCGATCCTATTTAACATTTATATTTCATTACAGGGGTGAAGGGGGTAGAGAAGGGGGATTCAGATTGCAGAACAGGAAAAAGTACATTGTCTTTGCTTTAAAAGCTATAAAGATAAAATGTAAAAAGCTGGATTCAGATCCAGTTCCACTTTATATGCCAAAGCAAACATTCAATAATAAGAAAAGGGCCCACAGCCTGCAGTCAATCTACAACGGTAGGCTGATTTTATGAGTCCAACTCTTAGGTGAAACTTAGGTGAGATATGCAATTCAACCCTTAGTACAGTTTTTAGACAGAAGCTAGTCTTAGCGTTCAGGATGATGCTTTTCTCAGTACTTGAAACATGTTAGTTTTGCAGAACACAGCTCAATTTTTCAAAAGCATCTAGTACAGTACAAGGAGCTTTCCCAACAATATGAATATATCCCTGGGAAACTGGTATATCTCGACCTTTAAAAAAAAGGGGGGAGGGAGTCTATAACCACGATATAAGGCTTTGTATTCCAGTTAGGCCTTTTATCACAACAGTTATCTACCGATCGAGGACAGGTTGAATTCAAAGGAACAGATCTGATTTCTTCGCCTGCAGACCTGCTCTCCCTTCTTGAGATCTCCCAGCGAGCGGGAGTGCCAGGGGGAAATCGCACCCCGATTGTACATGATGCCTGCTGGCTTCTTAGCTAACGCTAAGTTCCACTAGGAGATGCACTTTCTTGGGGATTTGTACGTGTGTATTTTCTTCTTCTTACCTTCAACTGGAAGGGCTGAATCTCATTCAAACTTTGATTCCTGAGCTTCTTCGTAAGGATCTTGAGCATGGTACAAATCCAAGGAGCCAGGGAAGAGTTAAGGACGTGCTCGCATCTAAAGGGCGTGCAGTCGCGCTGAGCAACTTGCAGGTACACCCAACTTGTAGCTCGAGTGGCATATGATCTACCGAGAAATACGACCTTGCGCCTTTCTTCTTTTTGCACCCCTATAACATCCCGGATCTGGTTGCTAACGCACGACTTCCTCCCCCGTCTGCTCCGTTGAAACAACTAATACGGGTTTTTTTTTGTTTTTAGAGGGCGAATGTCTTGCTTCTCCAAGCTGCAGCAAAGGACGCCAATGCAGAAACCCCGAGAGCAGCTAGCAGGGTTTCTATTCCAAAGGGCAAGAAGACATTAGGTGCCGAAAGAGTTAAACAGGAGATGAGAAAGCTTTCAAAACTAAGGCCCGGAGCTCTGCTCATGCTCATGATCTAATATGTCTTTTCTCTTCCTTTCCTGCACATTGCCGGTCGCTCTCGCGCGCCCTTCCTCCCGTCTCCTTTCTCTTTCCTTTTTCCACACTCTCCTCGCGCGCGCGCGGCCGCCTTTCTCTCTCTCTCTCTCTCTCTCTCTCTCTCTCTCTCTCTCTTTCCCCTCGGCGTTCTTGCTATGTGAAACTTGTAAAGAACAGGATCCGAAGACCGGGCGCCGCCGATTGGACAGCCAAGGCGGACTATGTCAATTTCAGGGGGCCGGGTTTCCATTTAAAGGGAAACCAAAAGCCGGGCAGGTACCGCCGTTTCCTCTCTCCCCACAAGTAGGTTGCTGCCGATCTGGAGGCGAAGACCCAGGTTGTCCTGCATCTCCTCCATTTGAAAGCGTCCCCCCCCCCCTGGAAGTTAAGAGGTTGGCAGCGCAAGAACCAACCAGCGATGCAGAATTGAATCCTTACAAGGTTTCCTTCTTCCTTCTGTTCAGTCTCGGGTTTCTCCCTTACGGGTCTCGCTCTGTACAAATGCGGTGCATCTTTTAGCACTTTTTAAAAAAGTAAATAAATAAATAAAAGACTTTAATCACCACCCTCTTTGCTTTATGTCCTCCAATTGAGGACTGAAACCCCCTCACTTCTCATTAATCCATTGTATTAATTCATAATAACATTGGGATATTTAAAAAGGAAAGGATATTATCGTATTCTAGAAAGATAGAGAATTTATAGCTATATGCACCTTAATAATAATAGTAATAATAGTAATAGTAGTAGTAGTAATTATTATAACAACAACAATAATAATAAAGTTGGAAGGGACCTTCGAGATCATCTAGTCCAACCCCCTGCTCAGACAGGAAATCCTATAGCATTTCAGACAAATGGCCGTCCAGCCTCTTAAAAAACTTCCAGTGTTGTTGCATTCACAACTTCTGGAGGCAGGTTGTTCCACTGATTAATTGTTCTAACTGTCAGGAAATGTCTCCTTAGTTCTAGGTTGCTTCTCTCTTTGATTAATTTTCATCCATTGTTTCTTGTGTTGCCTTCAGGTGCTTTGGAGAATAGCTGGACTTCCTCTACTTTGTGGCAGCCCCTGAGATATTGGAACACTGTTATCATGTCACCCTTTGTCCTTTTCTTCATTAAACTAGACATACCCAATTCCAGAAACCGTTCCCTACATGTTTTTGTTGAACTATAATTCCCAGAAATCCTAGTTATTATTATGGTTCAGCTCACAGTCATCCAGATGTTCTGACTTTTATCCGCCTAATGAATCCTTCTGAAGGAGTAGGTAGATGTGGATTTCTGATGGTAGATTTCTGAAGGTATTAAACATATTCACAGGCTGTTTTCCGAATAAAGCTGCCTTTTGCAGCTGATGGTGAATTTGTCAATGCCGATCAAGTTCCACTGGTGCTCCAATTGTTTTGGGATTGCACTCAAAGCTCCTATTACTATTGGTATTACGTTTGTTTTCTTTTGCCATAGTCGTTCTATTTCTATTTTGTTATCCTCTCCAGTTCTTTCTCTTTTATTCTGCTGTCTCCAAGTACTGTCATGTGGCAGGTGCCTCTATGTTTGAATTTTAAAGTTCCAGAGCACTTCATCTTCTTCATTGTCAATTATTTTCTGTATTTTATGATCCCACCAGTTCACCAGTTCTTGCTTGCAGACAAATGGTATTTCTTGCAGATTTTCCAATGCTCCATTGTTGACACTTTGTCATGCCAATTCTTTGTAACCGGTTTGCGATCTTCTTGCAACAGCTAACTAATCCACTTCTTCAGTTTCTTTTCAGAGCTGGCACTTGCTGTTTGTTGCTGTTTTCGCAATTATGGCATTGTATGCATTTGTTCTTAGTGGCTTGGTGTTGTGCAGCTAGAATTAGTCTCTGTATCTCTTTCTTCAACTTTCCTGCTTTTAGCCATTGCTAGGTCTTGTTATTATCTGTTTTGCGTACTATTTACATGTAATGGCCATGCAATACTTTGTCTTCCCATGTCTCTTTTCAGTTCTTCATTTGGTCTTTCTTGTAGGCCAGTTTGATCTCTTTAGTACTCAAATAAATTGTCCTGGTATACTAGCTTCAGTGCCTCTTCTTCACTGTCCTTCAGATATACTTCCAGTGCCTTTTTTTTCTTCTTCAACCATCTGATGTATTTGCAACTTTCCACACATACTGATTTTCCTTGGTAAGTAGAGTCTGTTAATGTTGCTATGAGGATGAAGGGTGTGATTGTCATTATTTTCCTGGTCTTCCTATCCAGGCATTTTAGTTCTGCTTAAGTCCAGTCTACTATTCCAACTGTGTATCTAATGATTGGAATTGCCCAGATGGTATTTCCTCCACTGGGTTTGGACTTTAAGATCTTCACTCTCTTTTCACTTCTAACCTTTTTCTTGGCTTCAGTGTGCTTGATGTCGTCAGCTTGAAGGATGCCCAGATATCTGTAGTAGTCATCTTCATCCAGATTCTTGATGTTATTTCCACAAGACATCTTGATTCCTTCAGTTTTTATTATTTTCCCCCTGTTGAGCGTGGCACATTTGTCCAAGCGCCATTGTAATATCTTGGCTGTATATAGACAGTATTGAGCAGCAATTGTATTTCAGATAATAGTGTTTTTCCACATACAGTTGTTTTCAACTAGAAGTTGTGGGACTGTATCACACTTTCACTTTTAAAAAGAAAAGTAATATGGAGTAAAGGAAGGAATTATCCTTTTCCTACATAAAATACCCTGATTAGTTGATTGTGTGCCATCAAATTGGTATTGATTCCTAATCACTATATACATTTTTCTTCCATGATTCTTAACTTGATACTTCCAGCTGTGCATCCATTGCCACTGTACTTCAGACCATTCACTTTACTGCTAGTTATCCTAATCTTTTCTTTTCTGCTACCTTTTCCAGCATTAGAGCTTTCCCCAAAGAGGTAGGTCAGTGATGACGAACCTTTTAGAGACCGAGTGCCCAAACTGCAACCCAAAACCCACTTATGCATCCTCGGGTGCTAGATGGGTATGGCCCATTGGGTGGGCGTGGCTGTGGTGGTAACGGCAGACTGGATGGGACTAAAAAGTTCAATCAATTAATTCCAACTTTGCAAGATCTTTTTTTTTTCCACGAGAAGTTGAAATTGACTGATTGATTGAGCCTTTTTTTTTTTTTTTGCACAAGGCAGCGGAGGCCTAAAGCGAAAAGGTTTTATAAAACCCAGCTGAAGGCCTAGGACTGGGGCAACAGCGCACGTGCCCACAGAGAGGGCTCTGAGTGCCGCCTCTGGCACCCGTGCCATAGGTTCGCCACCACTGAGCTAGGTCTTTGCATAATGCGTCCAAATTAGAATCGTTTGAGCCTGATATTTGTGCCTCCACAACCCTGGATTGATTTATTCAATGATCCAATGTTTGTTTTCTCAACTGCTCTGTTATTCTAAGGAGTCTTCTCCAATACCGATCTTCGAACATGTCAATACTCTTTCCATCCTGAGTTTTCAAAGTCCAACTTTAATTTTCATAGGGAATAGCATAGACTACACTATCCTGATCTTTATGGATATAGCATCTGATCATTTTTTCCAATGCCTTCATGGCTGCTGTACTGAGTGTAAGTCTGCAGCATATTTCTTGGTTACTTGTTCCTTTACTATTGATAGTTGAGCCTAAAAGGCACAAACCATCCAATACTTCAGTTTATTCATTGTCAATTATAAGGCTTGTGTTTGTACTTCTTGTCTTTCATGTGACTATACTTAATATGAGTCCCATTTTTTTCACTGTGCACTTTTATTACTAGTGCTTGCAGATCCTGTGATTTTTGGTTATCAGGATACTGTCTTCAACATAGCTCAGGCTGTTGATATTTCTTTCACCAATTTTAAAACCACACTCATCTTCTTCCAATCCACCTTCCCTTAATATATATTCAGCATATAGATTGGATAAATAAGGGGAGAGTATACAGCCTTGTCTCATCCTTATTGCCATAATTTTTTCTATATTCCTACTCTACTCACAGTGATGCTTAGTCATTCAGTAAGCACCATCATCCAGTAGCCATCATGTAGGCATGGAAGAATATGTACTGCACTCACTTATTCATCTGCCCTCTCAGTCTTGGTCAAAGCCACTATAGAGCAAGAGGGGAGAGCCTTCCTTTACTTAAGAGAGATTCCACACATACTTTTACATCTGAATAAAACCAAAGCAGTGGTATAAATTCACCCAGCTTGGTGACATATGAAAAAAGCAAAAAATAAAAGAAAAATGGAAAGAGAGAGAGAGAGAGAGAAAGAAAGAAAGAATTCACATGCATACAACTAAAGCTAGAACATAATAAAATTATGTTGTAACCATGGAGCAAGAGTTTATTTTCAATTGCCAGATAAAGCCACTTGAGTAAGATAATTCTAAATTCTTAATCTCAGAGGATGGAGGGGGTAAGTTAATAATATGTACAATACTTCACTTATTTCAACACATAGCATATCTTTTCCCACAGTGCCTGGAAGCTCTTCAGTCTTGTCCTGATGTCACCAACTTGATCTTCTTTAAAATGTTTATGGAAAATGTTTATTTTCCAATCCTTTCTGTCTGGAAATGGTTAACCATTTTATGATATGGTTATTTGCAAGGGACTTTTTTTCACATATGTTGCCATACAACTTTTCGGTGAGAATATAAACATTTTTTAGAAGCGCTTCACTTTACAGTCGATGTAAACCATCATCTGAAGTAAAATGTATTTGAACATAATCATGTGAGAAAAGTGCAGCCTAAGAAACTTCTAAACAGTCACCCCAGGATATCTTTCTAAAAATAAAGCTTTTTTGTTGCTGATGTTCTTGTGTGCAATAAATTAAAAAGTCAGTACTACTCTAAAAATGTTTCTGTCCTCGCTCACCTCCTGTCACATGACCTGTAAGTCACTAACTGTGGAGAAAAAAAACAAGAGCTTTACTCTTTTGCAATAAGATTGCAAGCTGATTAGAGGGAAATCTGTCTTTTCCATGGCTCTCCAGTTGCAATCGTTCCCATTTTAATCCCATTACCCCATCCTCCAAAACCATATTGGGACTTGTAGTCCAATATCCAGCTAACATTTAAATAACAAACCCCTCTTATCCTTGTTATTAAAAATAATGCATGATAAAGGAATTCTGTTTTGTACAAATAATATATAAGTAGATCCTTCTAAATAACTGAGTGGGTTTTTTTTTCAGTTTTACTTTGCATCAACTCAAAAGGACATCTAGCTGGATTAGGTTTACTTCTAAGGAAATGCACAAAAGACCTTTCTTCATTTTTGGTACATACTGTACAGGTAGTCCTTGACTTACAACAGTGACTGTTCAAAGTTACAACGGCATTGAAAAAAGTGACTTACGACTGCTTTTCA